GGAGAAAGACAGATACGGCGATGTAAAACGTGGCACAAGTTTACTTTTTAGCAGCTGTAAAAAGCAGTGAAGTAGCACAGGAAGAGCATGGTTTGTGCTTGTGGCTGCACTTGTCAGGGTCCATTGTTGCCCTCAACGCCAGGCCTGAACCACCGCCCCAGCGCCCAGAAGCACTTTCACGCTGCAGGCCAGTTTCAGGGGCTGCTGCTAGCCCAGCCCTCACAAGCAAACTCCAGCCCTGTGTTTGAGGGTGTTCTGCTTCACATCTGAGGGTCTTAAAAGCTGCTCTGCTTTTGCTAATGATGTGGTGGGGAGACAACTGCTGGCACACAGTCTGTGCTGTGCTGAGCGGTAAGCGTTGCTGCGGTTTTCACACCAGCGTGAAACCATGCTTGCTTTTCTTTCAGTCCATAGTGTAAGCAGAACTATATACATATTGTGCAGCTAAGCATTGTCTGCTAAAAAAGTTTTTTATTAAAAAAAAAAAGGAATTTCCTCCTCTCAAGTAGTAAATGTATTTTTTGCTGTTGGTGAGGTTTTTTTTGGGGGGTAGTGGTGGTGGTGGTTGTCTTGGTTTTGGTTTTGGGGTTTTTTAGCAGTACAAAAGTATATATCACTCCTCTTAGATGAAATTACTTACACCACTGCTGTTTAGTTTTTCATCCAGCAAAAGTTGTTTGCAACAACTGTTCTTGTTTGGCAAGGTGCCTTCATTCCCTGTACTGACTTCAAACTCAAACACATCTCCAACACACTGTGAATGGTCTCTGGGTCCCCTCAGAAGTGACGGGCCCTAACAAGGGGCAACATAGCAGTGCATAAATGCCACCATCACCTTATAACATTTGTGATGGAGACGCTCTCATGTTCAAAGGAAAATGTTTCCCTTTGAACATTTCCCATATAATTTGGCCACAGAAGAATAATTATTTACAATATATAGTTTGATATGTACCAAAGGAATGATGAGAGTTATATTCTCTTATAAAAAAATTACTTATGCAATGTACATTAATGTATTTCTTCTTAAAAAAAACCAAAATCATACAATCAAGTGGAGATCATGCTCCAGAAACAAGGGGACAGGGTTCCCATCTGAAGTCCAATGTCAGTTGAAATCTTTTGGCAATCTTCAGTAGGCCCTAACAAGCTTTGCAGTTTTAAGACCGGAAAAGCTGCAGAGCAAGGCAACGCAGGAGTCTATGTGAACTTTCTCATAAACCGGAGTTTTGCATAGGCAATGATAAGGAAGATAACAGTCATGCAGAAGAGAGCCACTATGTTTTCCCACATCGCCCAGTTGGTAGGTGCGATTCCTTGGCTGCACAGGTACGCTTCACCAGAACACCTGCAGAAAAGCATGGGGCAGAAGTTGGTATTACTGTGTGGTGCAAGGCTTCAGGTAGCTATTTTTATTCCTGTTCCACAGAGATTCTTCTACCCTCAACAGTGCAAAACAGGTGACAGAAATAGAGTAACTTCATAACCTATCACTAAAAAAAGCTTGAGGGACAAATCTAGATCTCTGGTTCTCCTCATTTTTCAGTAGCATCCTAATTGTTTATAGATAGCTGGCAATTTATGAGTACCACATTAAACAATGGTAAGTACAAAAGCATTAGTTTCACACACCAATCAATCATTGGAAGTCCACAGCAGGGGTTTGGGGTCCAAAAGCTGTGGAAACAGTCCTCTAGAACTCTTCCCTGCAATAATCTCAGTTTGGCAGCCTTCTAGCATGTGTCACAAAATAGTTGCACTGCTACAACTTAGGGTATCAATAGCCCAGCGTATTTCAAATGGGGCAGTAGCACTGGCAGATAGATACCGTGGTGCTCTGCTGTATCTGCAGGGAGGTTAATATTTACAAACAAGCTCTGAGGGGCAAGCATGTTTCTGATCACAGCTCTACTGCTTCTCAGCAACTTTGTAGCTGTCCACAGGGCTAGGTTATCAAAACCAAAATTTAATTTAGCTCATCTGCCTATTTTTAGGAGTAAAATTTCAGCCCTACTTCACTCTTGGGTCATTGGGAAGTTTTACCATATCATCCTAAAATATACTGGTTTGGGATGTATTACTGAGACTGGCCTGTGAGTGGTTATTCTGTAACTAATACAAAAATTCAAAAGAGTCAGACTTCTCTTTAAGCAAGACATCACAATCCAGGCCCAGGAACCACCTTGAGTTAGAGACTTACATTTCTCCTGAAACATCGGGAGGGCAAGTGCCTGCATCTCCCACAGACGCTGTAACATTTGGATTCTCTCCACAGAAGTAGAGATCTCTGAACTCTTTTGAGGCAGTCACCAGATTTTTGCACAGTTAGTGATCTGGAGTGGTAAATCTGAAATGCCTCAAAAGAATTTGATTATTAGAGGGCACGTTATCACCATTCTTGGAATCGTATGTTTACATTCCTTTTTTAAGCTCCCAATCACTGCCTTTCTGATGAACTGCCCCAAATTCTACATGCAGGATGGTTTGGTGTCTGAGTCTTTGGCTTCAAAGTTACATTTCAGTGATTTAGCCATGGGTTTGTGTCTTGCAGCTCCAAGTTCCTGTTCATCTACTTTCATCTGGGTAATTCCACTGCCCCAGAACACCACGGGGCTGCATGCAGACACCCAGCACCAGCACCCTGAAGCAGATGGCACAGTCAGCCAAGGTGAGAGGGGAGGTCTCACACATCTGCCCCCTCCCCAGTCCTACCTTTCTCTTCCACTGCTGGTCAACATGGTCCTGCCCACACCACCCTGCACCAGCTCCACCATTCATTTCACCCATTTTTACTTAAAGGTAGGAAACTATTCCTCTCAAATAGGCTTGGCCAGGATGAAGACAGGAGATGGAAGCACAAGTCCCACCTGTGATGAGTGGGTGACCTGTTATGTCTAGTCACTGCATTTCAAGCAGCTGCACCCTTAACTTTCTGGTAACCCAGCTCTTTATTACCCAGAAACAGCAATAAGTCATATTTCACTTCAGAGGAAGCCACGCTGAAGACTAAGACACTCAGGCATGATGGTTAATCCTTTAACCAGTTGGACAGCCATTACCCTCAGACCGGCCACCCAAACAGCAGCCTCCAGAGAGGCCATACAATATTTGACTTTATTCCAAACCATAGGGATCAACTACTCAGGCTATGAATTAGTGCCCCACTGGACAGCTCACTGCTGCTGTCCATGCAACACTAATTCTGTGGCACAAAGGATTTGTTCAGTCACTGAGACTTCCGCCTCTCACACAGAGATTTACTTCTTTTTTGGGGCTGGCTGTTTGTTCTTCTTTTACCATGTTCATGCAAGGGAAGAACCCAAATCTGACTTTAAGAGAACTTCATTTATACTCAAAACTTCTCCAGGAAGCAGCAGTGTGGCCGCATTACTCACAGGAGACCAATGCTACTTTCTACTCACAGTGAGGCCGTATCGGGGGATGCTGAAGTACTTGAGCCAGTTCAGCCAGCTCATTACAGAAGGGAGGTTTACTAAGAGGCCTGAAAAGATCTGAAATAGAACAGAAGAGACTAATGAGTCACAAAGTCTGTTTACTGCAAACAATGCCATTCCTGCACAGATACTGCAGTTGCCCAGCAGAGGTGCACTGGGATAGACGCACCTCCTACTGCTGTTATGCCTGTGCCTACAGGCATGAGGTTCAAACCTTGCAGCAGACCCAGCCAGCTGGCCCAACAGCACACCAAGTACTCCAGCTGAACTGCTTGCAAGGGTCAGAAAGGTTTTCTACACCCACATATGAGCTAAGAAGCATACATGCTAACAACTTCTTACTCTGGAGAACTGTGTCCTGTGATAGAGCTACCCAGAGGCTAAAGGAGGGTGACTGGGGTATGAGAGAGAAACACAAAGGAAATCATTCGGAGCCTTAAGAGCTGTTACTGTTTCAGCTGTTTGTAACCTACATCTTTCATCTGTGCTTTCTCCTGCCTGGAACAAGGTTTGCTCTTCTTAGCACAATTGGACTTCATAGCTAAACATGATGCTTCAGGCTGTGCTTCAGTGACAAGTGGTTTTGTGCTCACCAGCTGTCCTTCACTATGCATGCACACCAAGCATTTGAAGTGATACACTACCACTTAGCTTATTGCAAAAGCAGGTTAAGTTGCAAATGAAAAAATAAGGGATGTGCTGTGGGCTCAGAGTATTTACTCAAAGAGCTACCAGGAATCACCTGAAAGGAGGTACTTTTTACTCTAAGGTAATTTGATACGCCTTACAATCAAGAAGTTTCATCACTAACATTATCTCTTTGAAAAAAAAAAATCATATCCCTCATCTATGAGTAGTCAAAATCCCTTTCTCTCTTGCTGTCTTCCTCAGAAGTCCTGAAGAAGAGTATTGAAGTAATTTCTGGAACCCAAGGGGTATAACGAATTACAATAAAGAGAGGGTATGGTCCTTCCTGCTAATTCCACTAGGCAACAAAAATTAATGCAATAAAATCAATCAACCTAAAGTTTATTTCAAGGTTTCTTTTCTTTTAAACCATCATTTTGATCACTTGCATTTCTAATACTGGAAATGCAAGATTTTTTTTTTTAAATCAGTTTTTGTAAGGATAACTTTCAAAAAACCAAACCACTTCTTTTGGGGGCACACAGTTTGCAAAGCTCTGGTGGCATCACATGTACTGAATTGCACCTGAGCAATGATTTGACCCTTAGATGACAAGTTGCAAGAAGTACGTCTGTGACTATAGTGACAATAAAATCACAGGCATGGGGCTGACGTGCCATTGAACTGTGGATTCTCAGCCTGGGCTCAAACCAGCCTTTTGGGCCTGTCTCAGACGCTTTCTCACGTCCACCAAAGGAGCACACAACCCCTTACAGACTTACAAGCATCAGGACAAAACAAATAGTGATGAGCAGATTGGCCACAGCCACCACATCCATCCCAGCACTGATGGCCAGAGACATGGCCGTGGCAGTGTAGGACACCAGTACCAGGGTCAGCATGAAGAAGAAGAACCGACCTGCAACAGCTTGGTATCCTGTCAAAACACAGAAAGAATCCAGTAAACAACTACATCATGAATCCCAGAGAGGGACCCTTGGACAAGACAGGGAAAGCAGGAAGAAAGACCAAGTTTGGAGTTGACAGGAACTACACGTGCTCTGAAGGCTCAAAGAGCATTAACAAAGGATGTGGTCAAGCAGGTCCCTGTCTTACCTGACTGGTATCTCTGCCCCAGAGTCCTCCAAAGTTAAAATGTCAAGCACTTAAATTAGTTGAAGGTTCAACTAGCTTCACATTATAGATAGAGGAATTCAGCTCTGGCTAAGTCAGAAATCAAATGTGTTGGAAGGTGACAGGTTCAATGAAAGCATCAATTCTTTACCAATCATCCAGTAACTGATGCATGAGAATATGATGGCTGGAGCAGTTCTCATGGGCAGCAGATCTCCTATCATCAAGGCCAGGAAGTAGGCAGACACACGGTAATATCCACTGGTGTACTGATGGCTGCGAGGACAGGAAGGAGGGGAGTTGCACAGGTTTAGAGATTATCTAGGAAGCAGGTATGCATCTGGTTTATCCTGATGCGGTTTCTGTTCTCTCTCCCACTGACTCCTTGATATGCAAGTTGCTTATTTTCTCTGTGCTATCACTTCCCACTCTGTAAAGTAAGGGCTGATCTATCTCACAAGCTTGGCAGTCATGCTGAGAGTCCTCTGAGGAAACTGAATTAAAGGCTATGTGACCACTAAGTAACATATTGGAAAAAAAGCTCCTAAATCTCTTTTCAAAGGGAATGATCCTTAACACAAGAGCCCGAGTGTTACACTGCTCTTTGGAGGAACACTTAGCCCACAGCTAACTCATATGGCTGCTTTCAGAGGAGAAGGAATGACACCCAACAATGGGAAAACACCTTTAGGACATCAACTTGCCTCCAGTTCACAGGGCAATTAAATGTCATTATATTTGTTTTGTTGCTTAATGGAGTTCAGGAAAAGATGCTTTAATTGGCGAGATGCCAAAATCTCTATTGACACAGCTGGTAAGCTTATCTGGTAAGCAGGGCAGACTGGCAAGAAATGTCAGTGTGGGGGAGATTCACTCCTGAGCAGCTGTTAGGGGCAACATTTAGCTGCTCTGAGCAACCTGTGGGTAGACTTGTGCATTCCAGACACAAATCTCCAACTTCTTCTTTACTGCATAACATGTGTCTCTTGCCCTTTCATCCCATGAGCTGGGGTTTATTTCAAATGACATTTTCAACATATCTATATATATGTACACACACAGAGGTTTGTGTATATAATATATATGCACACATTTACTCACAGGCAGATAAAAACACCTAGAGGGAGATGTGTTTGATTATTAGGGAGCTTTTGTAAGTCAGACAGCAGCCCTGTTCATCTGAGCACCCTTGTGAAGATTTTCCAAGAACTCTCCCTTCATCTTTGCACAGTCTTACCACTGTAGGACCATTGCAAGACAGCGTTTCCACCCTGTCAGCAAGAGGGCAGGCAGGGTTCACAGCCTGCAGGATTCACATGCAGAATTGTAAAACGGCTGCTACCAAAAGTGGGTAGGAGAAGCACTTCCCAATAAACTGTGACGCAGGAAAGAAAAGCGTTTTATGTCTCCCATCCTTCCCCCACCTCTTAGCATTTCCTCTCCCTGCTCTACAGACCAATTTAGCATTACTATTACAATCTGATGTTGCAAGGGAGCAATCAAGTCTTTGGTGGAAATAATTTTGTTTAGCCTATAAGATTAGCCCTCTGCCTCACTCCAGGGTATGGGACAGTCTAAGTGCCTCACTACTCACACAAATAGTTTCTTGTCTCTGATGAACAGCTCAATTGCTGAGACACTGGAAAAACACTGGTTTGTGGTAACAAAAAACAAGGATCCAACCCTAGAAGGCAAAACAGAACAATCAAAAAGTGAGGAAACAGCCTAAATCAACACTGGCAGCTTCAGACTTCATCATACCATCAAGACAGTGCTGTTCTGTCTCTGTCCACAGAATGGAGATATCCAGTGGTGCTACTGTAGACTTTAGCTGTACACTCAGGCTTATTCCTTTATCTTCCCTTTCACATCTCCTTTGTAGGTATGTGTGAGCTTGACAGAACTGTGATCCCTTTGGGACCTCTGGCAAGACTATGCTGCACTGCACTGGGGCTTGTTAACCCAACCCTCCTTTCTGGTCCAAGTGAATCCCAAGGCCTTCCCTGTGCCTGAAACCTGTCTGCTACAGGTAGAAAAATGAGCCAACCTGGAGCTTTCCAACTTACCGATTCTGAATGCCACTTCGATCCAATTTTACACCAAAAAAGATAGCACCCACAACCAAGGCTAGGATTATGGTCACTGCAAGCTAGAAGTCGAAAAAAGAAAGGGAAAAGAGAGTCCTTCACATAAGTAAATAGGGACAAACTTCTTATTGAGGCATATGCAGGGTTTACGATTCACACCTGCCTAAAACTTTGCAGTTGTTGGTCAGTGTATACCTGTGGCACACACAATTAAAAGCCTTATGGAAATTTTTCTGAGTTTTCTGAGTTCTTTGTCTGGGAAAGATTAGTAGAAGCACACTCAAAGAATAACCCAGCTTAAAATTTCAAGCGAGACACAAAATTAACATCACCCTAGAAGCTCCTCATGTGAGCCAGAGAAGCATTTCCCCACACTCCCCAGTCTTCCGTACAGTAGTGCTTGTGCTAAACTCATATGGAGATTCTTTTCAAAGGCAACAAAAGCAGCTGGGCATCTTCCTCCCGTTAAGCGGCAGTGGCACAGGACATTCCAGTTTCCCTAGCTGCCTTTGGAAACAAAAGTCTGTCCTACAAACCGCAGATTGTGAGACTGAGAGCAGAGGGAGTTTGAGACTTCTAGCAATTGTTGCCTACTTGTGCAATGGAGGCCTGTGGGTTCCTGATGAGGTTTTTCAGGGAACGCTTGGACACCCAGTACAGCTGGGTGAGGAATCCATTTGCATAGGTAATCTCATGCCCCTGCTTAGATACTCTTTGCTTGCTTCCCCGTCCAAACTCCACTTTCTCCAGTGATTTCTTTGTGTTCTGGTACAGGCTGGAGTTGAGGTATTTCTGGTGCAGCACATCTACCACACTGCTGTCCACGTTATTGTCTCCATCTTCACTGCTCACCTCTGAGTGAGAAAGACAAGATACGACTTGTGATTCCTCATGGGGCCGACCTTCAGACGTGGCCCATCAACATGCTCAGCCACTTTGGAGACTGAATAAGTAAACGTAGGAGTGCCCAGAGAACTTGAACTGTTCAAGCCTTAGCT